AGTGGGGAATAAAAATGATTAATTTAGCAATGGTATTGGATCTGTACTTGGTATCAGCAGAAACCATTCTTTCCTATTCTGACATTTGGCTTAAACCTCAGCAGATCCTCTTGGCCGTGTCTATACGCCTAAAGTTTCTGCCATGTGATCAGATAGTTCCTTCAACAAGCAGCTGAACCAGTGTAACTAATAACGTGACCAGAGAGTGTTCACTTTTAAAAGCTGCCTCTTTTTGTCAGTGCCACAGTCATTAACGTAAGGTAGCAAAGGTGGTGGTGGACTGTGTAACAACTGATTCCCCAGGATTCAGCTATTTGCTATAATTGACACTGGACAGCAATGTCCCATGGTTACTCTGAAACCATTGTCAAAACCTACACACTTCTAAGATGCCCTGTGGCAGTAAAGAATAAATTGCAGCATTTGTACTGGGGCTGCTGCTGACAGGTAGGCAGAGGTTTTTGCCCAATTATAGGAGAAAAGGGATGAAGCAGGATAAGGCGGGCCACTAGAATAGACCTAATGAGGATGTGGTATGATTGCTGTGGGACTCATTCGTGCCCACAGCAGGCGTATTCGATTGGTACAGAATGGCCAGAATGAAGTGGCAGAGAGAGCGACAGAGATAGATATGGAGAGATAATAGAAGTGAGAAGGACTGATTCCTCACTCAATGTGAGAGTATGTGGGAGGAGATGAGATGCTGAGACTGAAAGTGGGAAAGAAATGGATGCTGAAAGTAAGTGAGTAAGTCAGTCCATCAAGTCAACTATGCTTTCACTCTCTCTTCTTTCCATCCATCCATCCATGGCTGCCTCCATCCTCCAATCATACATACAAACACTGCAAGCACAGGCGGTGCTGCTACAACCATCCAGAAAGATGTATGTCATCAAATCAGTTTAACTTCATGCAAAGATGTTCAAGGTTGTAAAACAACCACTGACATGTGTCAACACTATGGAACATTTGCCTGCGGCGGAACAAAACCTGGAAAACCTGGGCAAACAGGAAGTGAAGGAAGTGCATTTTCAAAAAGAGTTGATATCCATTCAGACAAGAAGTGTTTAAATAGAAACTTAGCAAACCACTGTATAGGAGTGACTATAGATGTAGCTACTATAGTAGACATGGATGCTTGGCCATGTAGGGCTAATACATCAATTCTGTTTGGTTACCATAAAAATGTGAGTGAAGTGCAGACTTTCAAATTGTAGCTCAAGGGTTTGTTTTGTTTTTTTTAATTTTGCCTTGACTGTTTAAGAGCTCTTAGCACAGAGGCTCATCTGAGGAAAAACTAGAAAAAAATGCGTATTCGTCTGACAAATCACAAATCTGGAGCCATTATTAGTTAACAAGGTTAATATTGATATTGAACTTTTGGACAGTTTATGAGTTTGCCCAAAAATGCATGATAATTTAGGCTGCTGCAAAAAGTAAAACTCCCCTCCCTCTTTAGGGACATATTACTATTTATGGCAATTAGCTTCAGTTACTGTGACTCATTGCCATCTAAACAGACAGTCACTGCATGGTACTGATTTCTTCTTATCACTAGACACACTCAAGTGCAACTTCTTCAACTAACTTCTTCAGCCTAAACTGACTAAGCAGAAAATAGATGTACATTTTTTGGCACCAACCACCCCCATTATATACTTCCTGTAACCACTGATGAGATTTGTGCAATAAAGAGGAAAATTTCTGGACTATTCTTCATACAAAACCTTTTGTATTGATAACCCCTCTTCAAGTTGGCATCTTGCTTGGCTGGGATATCAATCAGACCACAGGACTCAAGTTGTCCATTCCAGACAGTGATGTTGCCTCCACCCTACTTTGAATTAGTGCGTTTTCTCCCTCCAAATGCAGATTTATGTATTTGTGTTTAACTCACATTACTCCACAGAGGAGATTTTCTCTTTGTTTATATTTTACTTTAAACGTGCCACAACAAGGCATTTTTTGGAGTGTGGTGGTTTCCTTTATGGTGGTGTTTCATTAACACCATTCTTATTCAGTGTTTTTCCTTTAGTGAGGATGTGAGCAAAGATTATAGCAAGTTGTATAGATTTCTGCAGGTGTTTTGCTGTTACTCATGGGTTCTTTTTCACCTCTTTCAATATTGCACATTGTGCTTTTGGTGCGATCATTGTAAGACGCCTACTACCAGAAAGAGCAGCAACAGTCCAAAGTTTCCTGCATTTGAATATAATTTATCTTGTGGAATGATAAACATCAAAGGGTTTTGTACGCTTTTTGAGTAAAATGCTTCTTCTAAAGGTCCTGTGAAGGTTGTTTTGATCAGGGCATGGTTCACAGCAATCACTCATTCTTGAGGAAACCAGACCTTGTTAGTAATCAGACTTTGTATAACTTACTTATAGTGAGGGTCTCCCTCTACAATTCACACTTCTGAACCTCTCAATTGAAACACCCACTCCTAGAAGGTTTTGGTTTTGGTGAAGCTGTTAGCACAGAGGTTCACTTTGATTTTCCTGAACTTTAAATGAAAACTCTGTGTGTTCACTAAAGCTCAAGATCGTGTTTGCATGTTATTAGTTTTTCCAGATTGTGTTAGTCTATAATTAAGATGGAAATTAAGATCAGACCACGTTTTAAAAGTAGTCAAAGAAATTATAATCACAGTGTAAGCCTGAAGACGCCATTTGCAATTTAGTGGTTTATTATTAGGAGTCTTATACACTCAGCTTTTCTTTATATTTGTTCTGCAAGAGAATACTCATGCAAATCTTATGAGAATTTTCCCAAATATTTCATGCAAATTTGTATTCGCTTCTTTTTTTAAGGCTCGTGGACTTCCAGGATTCTAAATTACAAGATAAACAGACTTTACCAACCACCTGTGTTACTTTTGAGTCCAAATAGATTTTCATTAAAATTCTTACGCGCATCATTTTTTTCCCCGATTTCTGTTTTATCTTTCTCTATCCCATTATATTAATTTCCTTCGCTCTTTATTATAATTTCCATTTCTCTTCCCTGGTGTTTTTCCTTTCACCATATCTCATTCTTTTCTCCCCCTCATTCTTGTGTGACTGTAGTAGTGTCTGTGTGTCTGTGTGTGTGTGGGAGTAGAGGAGAGCAGCTATGCTGGCTGGGGGAGGAGGTGAGAGAGAAAGAAAAAGTAGCGAGAGAGGGATAGAAATACACAGAGAGGGAAGCAAAGCATTTACTGGAACAAAACATGCTGTTTCAAACTCATAGATAAGGGCCGCCTACTCGCTAGTTCTTATTTCAGAGCAGTTTACGCCTCATTTTTACAATCTATTCTATTTATTTATTTATTATGCATTTTTATTAGTAATATTATGAATACCTTAGACAACCAAGATATTATTTTCAGGCATTTTTTACTCAACTGAATTACTTTAGAGTTGCTAGACCTACCATCTGTCCAGTGTCCATAAAGTTTAACTCCATATTTCAAGTAGGTGGCAGGAGGAAGACTACATCTGAAAGCCAATTAGAAGTGAAGGACACACAGAAGAGTTTGATTGTTTCTAAGGATGCTAGTTTTTATATTATTACTATTGTAACACATATAAACACTCTGGTACTTTGCCAGCCTGTTGCTAGAATCTTTATGGTAGCCACATATCTAATATCTAATAAAACCAGCTCTTCTTATAAGAAGATCAAGCACAGAAACATTTACTTTGAGAAGTTCTGGGTTATTTTTTTTAGCAACACAAAAGAGCATTAACACTGATACCATCTGCATCAACATCTATGATGAATGTAACCCAACAGACCCTGAAAATCCAGCTGAGCAAGTTGGATACTCACTGTTGATCCCGGTATCTCGTCAACACCAGTGAAGTGCAGATGACACAGCCTGAAAGCTGTACAGAAAACCTAAAATAGAAGATGATAATTTGCGCATGAGGAATAGCGTACACAGTGAGGTCAAATAAAAATAACAGAAATGCAACACCTGTAGAGAAAAGAGTGCTTCTATGAAAGACGAGCTTAATGAGAGACCAATCAGGAAAATATTACAAATTCTTGACCCAAGTAGTAAATACCCATCTATGAATTTTGCATACTTAGACACCATTATCTACAATAATAACATACAATAGCAATATATATAAATATTAACATAAGTATTTGATTTTACAGGACTTACAGTGCCTCTTAGATTCACCACAACTGAACCTGTTAAATCACTGAAAAGCCAGAATTTAAGTTTGTTTTTTACCTCGTCCCCTACAGACTAGCTTTTACTTGAAAACCAAACCGCATTACTGATTAACCAATTAATAAATAAAGCAACAAATTAAAAATAATTAAATAAGAAGGTATAGCCCTTTTCAGTGACACACACACAAAAAAAATTGCTCAGCTCATTATATTCAGCTAAAAGCCTCTGGGAGAGAAAAATGAAAGCGCTAATTTAATGGAGTATCTCAAAATGCTTGTGGTAATTCCAGTTCAAGGACCATCACACACAAACTAACAAGACTGCAAAAATCATCAGGCCTGTAATGAAGGGCAAATCTTAATTGACACACAGTCTAATGAATGACATCCATTAGGATAGTTACAAAAATAATATGTGAGGTTTTGTGGCTTACTGAAATTCCAAAACAGGCTTCAAACAAAAATGCAAATTGTACAGTTGGGGATAAGGGCTCACAAGAGTACAGCATCCACTGTAATCACAGGGCAAACCAGTCATCTAGGAGTTGTTTTTAAACACACACATCCCAACTTGCACATATTTCATTTCCTCCCTATGGAGGCTGGCTGGATTTCCTGGAGAACCGATGCAGTTGCATCCGCCAACTCTGCACACTGCAGAAACGCTTGTTATAACTTCCATCTGTGTGGTCCTGGGAATTCATTTGATTTGATGTTAGCTGTGATGAGCGCTGATGAATACCAACTTTAACCATCTGTTTCCCAGCTTAAATAAAAAATTAGGTCAGACCTAAACTCATGGCACCAGGGTTTGAGAAGCTGACAAACTTGGTTACTTGGTTAATTGATAAGTGAAGGATCCCAGAAATGCACTGCCCCAAAAATTTACACTGCACTACTGAATAAAAGGATTCTTTATTTTTATTTTCCTCCCTCAGCTACAGTTAACCCAATTTACCTCACACTTGATATATAGCTGGGGTTGATGTCAGGCCTTCAGGGAGTAAATTGTGGCAAGTCTCACAACCTCACACCAAGTTTATCAATTATTATCATCCAAAAAAAAAAAAAAAAACTGTCAGCAGTATCAGCCATCTCTTGCTTATTTTCTATTAAACATACATTAAATTACATTAAGTTAACTCTGTATTTTTCACCTGATTGTCTGGCCTCCACCTGCAGTGGCTCCTTGTCCTACAGTCTGAAGACCACTGCTCTAATTGCAGGAAACACTCGGCTTAAAGCAAAAAGCTAATGCAAGGCGAGTTTCTGTTTAATTGGCAGCGATCTGACCTGCTGTTCAGGCATTATGTGTTTACTAGAAACAACATATACATTCATAAAGTTTTTACTTATCCTTCTAGACACCAACTATCAAACGAGCCAATACTATGTGTATATTTTACACAAATTGCTGCTTAAAAGGGAAAAAAAAAGACCTATCCCTATTTCTCTGCATGGGTCAAACACTAGAAAGGACTATATTTATATCTGATAGATTCATCAGTGTTACATCACTATATTGTGCAACTGTGCCACAGAAGTCAATCTGTGTGCTATCTTTAGTCACTATCAGCTGTTCCGCTTTTTTAATCACAGCAGTGGTTATGTTAAAGGAAGCATGCAATCCGCCCATTGCGAGCAGGCACGTGCTGACTGACACTGTAGTAACAGAACAGACTAAATTCCAAGAACACTTTACAGAACAGGATCTACTGGCTACCCTCAACTGCCACCATATTTTCAGTCTTGTGGAAGAGCTGGGAAGCAATTCAGCAGTTTAACCATTTTCCACAGGTTGCACCCTTTTAATCACTTACTGTCATTTCTAAGCCTAAACAGTAGTGCTAGTAGTACAGAAAGATGAACAGGGTTCAAAATCCAACACGTAATAATACGTATCCTTCGTGGCACTGCCTGTTTCCCCTTATGGTTAATTTTTGAGAACACTGTTGAAACGCATCAACCCATAAACATACAGGAGGCGGCAGGCAGAAAACCACATCAATCCACTTTCCCGTTCCCCATGTTTAAAAAAAACGTAATTGTTCTACTCCGATCCTCATCTCCAAACCTGGTTACAGTCTCCAAACTCTCTTCCATCCTCTGATGCAAAACAGTTTGGAGCAGCAGTCATCTTTATTGCCATCTCTCTATACCCCAGGCTATTAGTACAGACTGCTGACCTGGACCTTGGACCTCTCCATAGTCTGTTTCTGCAGGCTGGCATTCAGCCTAATGAGGCTTGCTAATGGTCCCCTCATGTCAGTCTGAGGAAAGCCTTCTACTCTATGCAAACTGGAACACATGTCCACACACTCACTCCTTCCAGCACTTTCCACAGTTGCCTAGTTGATAATAAAAAGCAAAGATGACCAATGTATGACTCAACTAAACGCCAAACCGCTGCCCATCATCGGTCATACTGTATCACACAAACTCTACTTATCTTTCCTTGCTTTATGACCTTTCTTTAGCCCCACTGCACAAGGCTTTTTAGGACTATCTGCACCTGGTCAATGCGATGTGGGGAATTTCAAACTCGGGAAGCACAGAAAGGAAAAGAAAATGCTTCCCATAACTTATCCATTATCAAAACAGCTGCTTTTTGTGCTGGTTTTCAGTCTGGGAAAAATTACACAGGACTCTGAGTAATGCTTAGAAAATGAATGGCAGGTTACACATTTCCACATTTAAAACATTAAGGGGAAATGAGATGTACAGCAACTAGACAACATTTTGCTGTGCCTGCCACTAAGTCCGATTGGCTTCACAAGGCCACACTTTCAGAAAAACTTGTCCATTAGCCACGCTCTGTTAACACTTGCTAGTTAATGATTATGAGCCCCGCTGAAACACATTTTAAAACATGTGGTCATTAACTATGGACACGCATGACACATGCGAGTTAAATAAAAAACACCAAAGAGTCCAGCATTGATAACTTTGTCCCAGAGCTGCTAAGAAAATTCAAAATATCATCTTTTACTCTTTGGAATGATGAGAGCTCCAAAAGCACCTGTAAAATCCATTAAGTTTATGCAGGCAAGTACAGTGAGCCGTAGCTAAGACCAATGCTTTGACAGACTGAAGACTGTCACGGCAGATAAAAGATGCTCTAAAAGCAGCTGAGTGCTGTCAGAGTGACAAGTTAGGTAGGAGAAATCAGAAGTGCTTTAAAAAAAAAAAAAGCAGCCAGACAGACTGGAGAAATGTCTGGGAGACATGAGTTTTAGAGAGCAGTAAAAAGAGGTGATTTGAAGCTAAAACAAGATTAAAAGGAAAGGTCCGGACTGGCAGACCAGTTCAAGGTCATGTCTTAAGCCAAAGCCACAAGCTACGCAAGATGCTTTGACCCCTGGTTCTAAGCAGTAGGCGTGCAGCAAATAAAAATATCAGTTTTTAGATGTAGCTGCAACTATTAAATACATTTCCACCCATCAGCTTTACATCAGCCTGGGATTTAAAGATTATGCCTGCCTATTTAAGTAAAGTATCAACGTCAAATTCAATCTGCAAAACATCTGAATTAAACTTTCAACAGCCAACTCTAGATTTCTGTAAGATAACGTATTCTTATTTTACCATAGAGGGAATCTGTTAGCTTTGGCTAGAAAACACAATCCAACATGACAACAAAAAAGCCTGTGATTAAGTGGAATGTGTCCTTTGGATAGATTTTTTTTTTTTTAGGAGGCACCTTCACAATACAAATCATACTTTGGGACACTGGATTCAGACAGACCCTAAGCTCAAGTTGCAGGTCGTAAAACAGACAGCGTCCAGATGTCTGGCAGAGGGTATGCAGCAGAGGATTTAGGTAGTTCCCTTCCAAGTCAGCTACTGGTGGTCATAGCTGACAACCAAATGCTTGCCAAGTAGTTCAGTGCAGTAGTTCTTGTGTGTATTTGGCACACATTTATTGTTTTATTAACCAACTATAAATTCTTTCTACAAATCCATCTTTAAATTTAACTAGATATGATGAGTTTTTGTGAAGCTCTCTTTTCATTGTGAATTTTACCACAACGCTTGCAGCCAGAGTGACCTGCGGCTTATTATAACATTATGACAGCAGCTTCTTCAAAAGATTGTAGAGGACTGAGAAGAAACAACAAATGGCAGGTAAGATGAGAGTCCGGAAACATCACAGTGATACTGTTGTGGTGTAAATCGTGAATGCTTAAAGCCTGAGCCTGTTGCAGTACAGACAAGATGGGGAAATAATGAACCTGACAGCTGGCTTTTTGCAGTCTTTTGCAAGGAATTCAATTGATGCAAATTAGGCTTTACCAAAATATGCTCACCAAAAAAAAAAACGATGCCATATCCCGTTACTTACACCTATTAAGATACAAATTCAAGTGTTGCGACGTGTGCCGTTAGATTCTCGTTTCCTGTCTACTTGAGAAAAAGCATTGAACTCTGAATAATTAGCACCTTGTAAGTACTTCTTATGTAACCCCCTCTACCTTTGCCTAGTCTCTGATCAGCAGCAGGCAATGCTTCACAAATGCCAAGACTGAAAAGAAAAACTGCACCACGCTGATGTAAAAAGTCAACACTTTTTTTTTTTTTTTTTTTAATGACCCATAAAAATACCACACTCTCACTCCACGTTATAAATGCCCCACATTAGGGGAGTGAGTCAATAAAGTTTGAGGTAGGTCATGTTGCATAGAGGGAGGGGAAAAGCATACTGTGCAAAGCCC